ATGTTTGATTTCTATTTTCGTTCATATTTGACAGAAAGGATTTTATTTTTGCATTAGTTAGGGGAAGTGGAAATGAGTATTTGTTCTGCCCCTTTTCCTACTTGCTCTCCTTGTTTAACCTCCTGACTTTTTATTTGTACTGTTTGCAGTGTTTTATTACACATGGTCAGACACCTGAGAGCCTTCAGGAGTTACGTATTTTATGTAGTCAATATTTTCCATTATTGTTTTAAGGTGTGGTATACTGAATACTTACCAACTGAACAGGTGATGTTTTGGGTCTGGAATGTATAAATAAGATGACAGCTGAAAAGCACTGTAGCCTGGAAAAGACACAGACTGAAACTGAAACACATCCGCTTTGGGCTTCTTACACGAGGTTCTCTACAGCTCAACTTCCAAGTTCCAAAGTGATCCTCTACTTTATGAAAAGTAAGGCAGGAACACCAGGAGCTAAGAAATTACATGTTGGAAGATACCATATGAAGATAGATGGGATAGAAAAATCAGATATCATATTAAAAATTCATATGTTGGAAGAAAAGGCTTTGCACCAGAGGAATCCTAGGCCTGAATTGTGCTTAACTAGGAAAAAGAGTAGCATCCTTCTTTCCATCCCCTGGCCACATATTCTCTCGTGTCTAGTGACTTGGAAATGGCTAGCCCTGAAGTCAGTTGCTTCAACAAGCTCATCTGACAGAAAACAAATCCACCAGAAAAACGATGGTTTTCTGTTGAACTTGTTTGCTCACCCAATTCATTCTGCAGTCTCAGAGTCACTGGACCTCACATAAGGGGGAGCGAGATGGAATACATGACTGGAGAGAGATGCACAAGGCTGCACTTTTCAGCATTAGCCCATGGTCTTACTAAATTAGTTGTAACCTAAAACCGCGCTCTGAAGGCATGGTTCCATATGATGAGGTTAGGTGTCACTTACTAACCCAGAAGGAAATGAACACCCCTTCCCAAATTAAATATTCCTCAGCCATGTTATTCAGTTGAAGTGGCTCATGGAAGCATACGACAAACACCAAGGAGGAGCCAAGGGAGGGTGAAAATCTGCGTTTGGGAGATGAGGAGTAAGCAACCTCTCAGCTTCTCAGCATTGGTGAACTATTAGATGAGTCCAGCTGCTCATGGATCTGTCTACAGGAATCGGTTTGCTCTGCAGATCATCACTTAAAGACCCATTCTGGAAGTGAGAAGACTCAACTGAACAGGATAAAATAAGTTATTTCTGCTTGTGGTAACAGCTTCTTAATAATACATTCTGTATGCCATTGAAAAGACAATCTGAAATGAAAAAGCTCTGAAATGTTTAATAGTCTCACTGTGGTCATGGCCATACAACCTAAAATGTTCTCAGACTACTGAAAACAAACGGGAACAATGCTTAGTTATTCAGGAGGGGCACGAGCTTTAAAGCAGCAAATCTGGCTCAAAACCAACACAACTGTGAAAAAAGTTTACTCAGGGGAAAGAAGGCCAAAAGCACTGAAGAACTGAGGAAACAGAGGAACCAACACTGGGGAAACAGAGGCTCTGTTGTTTTGCATTGGTTAGTATTTCAGAAGTCTATTCAGCAAATTGTCCACTCCCTGTTAAAGCAATGGGCCCACGGGGCAAGTTTGGGGTGCGAGCCCATTCCACCCAGCCTTTCCCTTTGTCCTGGAGGAGATGACCCCTCTGATATAGTCTGAACGACTTTCTGTGCCTTGGCGCAGGCAGACATTCCCTGACGCCTGCGGTCTCACCCCGCCCTCCCACAGAGGCAGGAGCACAAGTGGGTCTCTGCCTAGGAACCTGCACTTTCCCAGCCACTGCTGCACCCCCAGGGCAGGGAGAGGGTTAGGACCGGGCAGTAGCAAGCAGACAGATGTCCGGCTTGCCTGGAAGAAGGGCCAGCGGTTTGAGAAGTGGGGAGAGAAAGGCGGCTGCCCCGGTGAAAGTCCGGCGGCACTGGTCTGGCTGGGTGGGAAAAGTACTGCTGTCAGAAGGCAGGGAGGGAGCAGGCTACTGGACACAAGCAGAGGGGAAGATGAGCCTGCAGGAACCTCCCGTGACTGATATTCGCTCCTTGGCCTGTCGAGTTTGGGTGTCCTATTAATGCCACAAGCTTTTAGCTCTAGCAAAACTAGTATTATGGCCCTGAAATACGTCAGAAGTACTTCAGGTCTGAATAATTCAGCTGTCAAAATGAATATGAGGAAGAAAATGATTTAGTGGAAGGATTGCTTTGTTTCTGAAGTTGCTATTTCTTTCTGTTTATGCACCCATATAGACACTAACAAATCAGTGAACTGGATGCACAACCAGACAGCATCATTGATTACATCTTCCCCTCAACAACATCAGGAAAATACAGAGGGGGCGAAGCAAGCAAAAGTTATTTAAAGGGCATAACTATTTAATGAGATTTTATCTGCTATAAAGAGAATTCCCAAACTATCTACAATCACAACGTTGAGGGTTGTTGTCTATTGTAAATGAATTTTAAATAACTCCTGTTGGCAGAGTTATCTTCTTCTCAGGGCTGCCAAATCTCATTATGCTGAATTGCTTATTTAAACCATAATTCAAAGAATCACTGACTAATGGGTTTCTTGCCCTTTTTTTTTTTAATAAGTGTAAATTTCTAAGGGACATACTTATTGGCAGAACATAAAAAGATAATCAGTATCAGTAAACACCAGAACAGTCAGGGATGTTATCATTCATCTAGTCCTTTCTCTAATCAGGAGAGAAGAGAATGGCTGGCTGCTGGCAGGTTTTGCAGCAGCCTGCTGATAGCAGAAGGATGTGGGGTCTGGGGACTCCTTGGCTTGACTGTGCAAGTGCTTGCCCCGGTTATAAACCCTGGCCCCAGATCAGCTTTCACCCTGTGCTCCCTCATCTGACCTCCACCCCGGGCTTCTCTCTCAATCCCTTCACAGTACTGAAAATTTCACGAATATGAAAAATTCCACTGGCTTTGCTGTGACCCCACCCAGAGCGAGAGGCCTGTTTACAGCACCAGCCCATCTACAGCAACATTTAAAAAAAAAACCCAGTATTTTTAATTACAGCTCAACTGCCGGCAGGATCCGGGGGCAGGATTTGCATCGGTTACCTGCCCTGACCATGGCGTGCAGACCTCTGTAACGGAGCCAAGCTGCCTTCAGCCTCCACGGACAGACTGGTTCGCACACGCCACAGCGGCAGGTCAGGCAGGTCGCTGCCAGCTCCCGTCACTTACAGGACAAGCAGCCCAGGTCGAAGGAGTTCTTGGCTCTGTCTTGATTTAAAGCTCGGGGCGGGGGGGTTGTTACGTTTTCAGTATCAGACACTTAACTTTCTTCAGTCATCAATAAAGCACCATTTTGTCTTCCGATAAAAAGCACCTGAGGGATTTTTGGACATCAGGACCCTCAGACAGTGAGTTAAAGCAGTTAAGATGTAATTCAGTCGCAAGCCCTTTCTTTGCAGCTTGTTTTCTGTGCCTTCAGCGCACATCTGAGTCTCATTTAGAGGCTCGTCGATGGAAATCCGGGGACTGGAAATGCGTTCAACAAACCAGCAAGCGCGGATCCTTGCG